TATATATATATATATATCATTTTTATCATATTGATCTTTTGCCCATTCCTGGCTAACAATACAGAAGTTACAATGATGCGTCTCACGTGGACTCATGTTACTGTATCAAATAACATAAACCTGAACTTTGGTCTGTACAAACTAACTTGTCTTGGCTTTGTTTTAGTAGACTAGTATTTTGTAAAATACAGTCACATTTCAATTATTATACATTATATATGTATATAGATTATTGCTATTTTGAAATAAGTGCTTAAACTTATTTTTCTTAAAACACAGAACAGTAACTAAAGAAGTAAAGCAAACAATTATCTCTTCTAGTTATGACCTTTTTTACTCGGTTGCTGCTTGACGTAGGTTGCAATAAAATTTTGAATGCAAGTCAACAAACAAAAATGACGTGGCCTATCACCCATGACCTGTCTCGAAAGGGTTAACAGAGAGAGTACCCAACTGGTAATTCAATGCATTATATCCATTAAAGTTCCGAGTTTCCTTATATACTGATTTTATGACATTCTGTACGTGTAGCAGTTTGTTAAACAAAATTACCTTTATCAGTTTACAAGTTACTTTGAAATTCCAACCTGCAGAATTAACTGACTTAAATATCAGAAGTTATTACTAGTTACTCAATCTACGTTAATCAGTCGAGATTTAGAATTCAAACCAATACATAATGTCAACCTGTAAAAGGTACAGCTTCATATCTGAAAGTCTAACGAGTGATGTAAATGTTTACGAATTATGCCATTTCACGTACAGTTTTTAGTTTATATCAGTTTGTTGGATATTCAAAAAATCAAGTTTTTATACAAAAAATTAAACTTTTTAATACACCCCCTTTAGTCTCAATTTCAGCCCAAGATATCTACCCTTATTCATTATCTCAGTGTGACAGAAGTTTTGAGATATGAACACGTAATGCTCAAAACATAAGACAATAAACAACTCTTGGACCTCAAAAATCTTTACAGTGTACAAGAAAACTCCAGTTCTGAAACTGAAAGCTGGTGAATTAAAAATGTAAAATGTCAAATTTGTTTATCTGGTGATCTGGCAAGTTTAACTACATCAACTATTTAACGGACAAACACACAACTCAGTACACTATATATTTTTGTAAAAGCTATTACTCAGCTTCGTAAAATACAAATTAATTACTTGTCAAAATAAGTTCAGATTCTTAGTACTCAGGGTTGTTGAAATCTCTAAATATATATATTACTTCTACAGATTAATATTTGAATAGAATACTCCTCTTTAAAATATAAAAATTGTTCTATAATTATTAATTTTAAGTACAAGATTGTGATTAATTTTTCAACACACTGTGATACAAGTTTTCAAACAGTACGAGTTACACGAATAAAATTCAAAAAATATCAAAATCGAGAAAGTTTATCTTTTGAAGAAACTGTGGCAAACATATGCTTTCACAATTTCTATAAGCACTATATATATATATATATAAAAAAAATACTCAATAACATTATTATGTATTATCATCATCATCCATTTTTACATTTCTTTTGAAAAGTTAGTTTTCATAGTTTATCACCTAAAGTGGGCAAAACTCGTGAGATGTTATATCATTAATAGTGAAAGTTTCCAAGTGGTTAGTCAATGTTTACGTTTTGTGTTCTGATTTATGATATTAAGTAAGTTCCTTTTTTTTGTTTTTTAATCCAGAGTTAGTTTACTGATTATCACAGGAATTATAATTCAAATTTTTAAATCTGAAATCTGCTATTTGATGACTAAAGTTTAATACAGTGCTTGTTATATTGAGACCCAACACATGTAAATATACAGCCAAAAACCTAGAGCTTTGATCCATTTTCCACTAAACAAATGAAAGGTCATTTATTATTTGTAGACACTTCATATCAGAATTAGTCAGTTTCATATGCAGATATGTGGGATTGGACAATACTGCCTTCATTAAATGAATCCTTAATGAAAAAAATAAGTACAAGCCAGTAATGGCAGTCTTACCTCTTTTGAGATTTTACCATCTTTGTCAATAATTTCAATAATAATAATAATCCCATTACAATCTGGTGTCGTACAGCTGGAATGCAGAAATTCCTGAAAAAAAAAAGTAAGGGAGAAAAAATATGGAATAAATCAATCAGCCATTCACCTAGTTTATATATGTACTTTAAGTATAATACACAAGTAATCAGTCAGCCATTCACCTAGTTTATATATATGTACTTAAAGTATAAAGCACAAGTAATCAGTCAGCCATTCACCTAGTTTATATATGTACTTAAAGTACAAAGTACAAGTAATCAGTCAGCCATTCACCTAGTTTATATATGTACTTAAAGTATAATACACAGGTAATTAGTCAGCCATTCACCTAGTTTATATATGTACTTAAAGTATAATACACAAGAAATCAATCAGTCATTCACCTAGTTTATATATACACCTGGAAAAAAGTTAAGCACCCCCGTGTTTTTTTCAAGTGATTCAGATTCGACGTTCTTGTGACTGATTATAAATTACCATTCAATCTAAATGTGTT